CCTATATTAAGAATATAATCTTACCAATATTCCCCCTATTTTAGTTTAAATTGGGATTTATTGAACCTGTCTTCTCTCTGCATTTGAATTTGGAACTTCAGACTGACATTTTATATACATATATATATATCTTTATTTATTTGCTTGTTTTGGGTCACACCTGACTATGCACAGGGGTTACTCCTAGCTTTGCACTCAGGAATTACTCCTGTCATTGCTGGGGGACCATATGAGATGCTGGGAATCGAACCCGGGTTGGCCAAGTGCAAGGCAAATGCCCTACCCGCTGTACTATCACTCCAGTCCTTAGACTGACATTTAATTATCAGAATTGTTTCAATGAAAAACCAAGCTGTGATGCTCAGTTTCCCCCAATCCCACTGGGAAGTTGATCTGTAAAGTTCATCACTCTCCTGAGTTTGCTCAAGGGCCTTCTTATCCCTGCAATGAACTAACCATCACTATATCAGGCTGCCTTGTGAAGGTGTGGGCCTAGCGTTGAGCTCTCTTTTCAGTGGAAGCAACTGTGGAAGGAGTTGCCATCTGAAGGTCAAAGTTCCCCAGCAGCTCAGGCTGTCACCTCATTGCTTGCAGGGGATCCGGAAACTCATCCTGGGCCCCGTTCTCACTTCCCTAGAATTGCCCCCTTGGATTCCTTGTTCCAAAAACAATTCTAGGGTCCTTTTAAAAGGTCCCTCTCCTTAAATTTTTTCTGGCTAAACTTTTATCTATTTCTAGTTCCTAAGCCTACCTGTTCTCACACATTTACAATATCTACAGGAAATGTCTTTGGTCTTGCTTGATTTCTTATCAGTCTGTATTCTGTTTGCAGATGTGCGTCTCGGATGTTTTCTTTAGATATTTTGCTCTCATATTTTACCTCTGTTTTTCTTACCTTGTGCTTGATGAGTATACTAGCAGTTGGGAATCTTTTCTTTGCTCTTTAGAATTGTTGACTCTGTGCTTTCTGCTGCATTTTCTATAGATCATGTTTTATTTAATAGGCTTTTGGCTTTCTGATCCTCTGAAAGGATGGAGACACACTCCCCGAGATCATTTCTCTTACATATTCAATTTTATTCAGTTCTGACAGAAAGTTTCTTATTTTTCATTGCATAAGACTCCAATTTTGGAAGATTTAATAGGTAAAATAGAAGTCCTCACTTGAATATATGCTAGAATTCAGACAAGTCTGTATGCAGAGGTGGGATAGTAAGACATCTGTTTTATGGTGGAGGTGAAAGCATTTTTGCCTTTGTCCTTGGAGAGAAGAAGGAAGGAGAGGAGAGGAAGGAAGTTGGGGATCTTAACGTGAGATAGAACCTCCCTTATGTAAGAAAGAGTCTTCTAGAGACAAGAACTCTAAAGGTAGTGCTCTAATCCCAAGAGGGTCACTATATGACAGAGGTACATATGGTCCTGATGCAAGGGTCCTGGCGCAGGTGGTGATGGTAGTGGTGGGATACCTATATGACCAACAAAGAATCAGGGAACTCCCTGTGGCTCATGGAGGACTGCCAATCTGAAAATTTCCCAGGCATCAGGAAGCAGTGACTTTGGCGACAAACTGGCCTAAAGGACTATAAGCAATAGGAAATGACAGTGTTGTGAAGTTGTTCATGTCTGCTGCTCCATGCCCCATCCACCGCTTCCCCTCCAATGAACTTCAGCTCTTTAGTAACGTCCATTATCCTCAGATACCCCATGAGTGGGGCTCATTTTATTTTTTATTATTTTGACATCTGTCAAGGAATAGGTGCATTGCTCTGCTGAGAAAGATCAAAACTAGAGCTGACCTTGACTGTGAAAGTCCCTTGGGACATTGGCATTGCTTGGGAAAGGGCTGCATATTGACTGGACATGAATTGGGATCTAATATGATAATATTTCAATATCAAGTAGCATTGAGCCCCAGATGAAATCAGGGTTTCATCTGATTCAATAAAGAAATCTCACTATTGCTTTACCTTCTGCTTGCAACCATGTTGATGAAGGGTCTGAGTTAAATTGTGTCCTTCAAAAATTCATCTGTTGAAGACAACACCCAGTACCTTCTAATATCCCCTTAGATAGTTAGAAATAGGGTCATGGTACATGAAATTGGTTATTTGGATGAAGTCATCCTGGAGTAGAATAGTCTCCTAATCCAGTAAGACCAGTGTTGCTGTCACTGTCACTGTCCTCCTGTTGTTCATAGATGTGCTTGAGAGGGCCCAGTAATGTCTCCATTTCTTTTGAGACTTGTTGTTACTGTGTTTGGAATATTGAATACATCATGGATAGCTTGCCAGGCTTTGCCGTGTGGGCGAGATACTCTTGGTAGCTTGCCGGGCTCTCCGAGAGGGGCAGAGGAATCGAGTCCGGCTCGGCTGGGCTGGCTGCATGCAAGGCAAATGCCCTACCACTGTGCTATCGCTCCAGCCCAAGACCAATGTATTATAATTATAATAGGGAACATTTGCAGATGAAAATGTGACTCAAGTTGTGTAAGGCCCTGGATTCTACCCAAAGCACCACATTCTGCCTCCCTGTGCCCTTTCAATACCTCCTGGCGTGGTCTCCTCAACAATAAATTAGAAACTTGAAAAAAAATAATAAAAGGAACGTTTGGACACATACACAGAGAGGGAACTTTATGTGGAGAGACAGAAATGATCATCTATAAACCCAGAAGAGAAACCTGGACAGGGTCCTTTTTTCTTATTCTTCCGAAGGAAACTGTCCTGCCAACACCTTAGTCTCTGACTTCTGGTCGCCACAAATATGAGAAAATGGGCTGCTGATGGTTAAATTGCTTTATATGTGGTATTTCCTTACACCTGCACAGGTGTAAGAAGCGTCCAGTCACTGATATGGGTCCAACTAAAATGAATACTAGATGTTAATCACTTTCTTTGCTTTGTCATTATTCTCATATTTAAATTAGATTAAATTAATCTCATATTTAAAACAATTTGCTTAAACCCATGTTTCTTTCTATTAGAAGTTGTACTTTCTCTATGATTTTGTGATGGTGTCAGCAAACATTTTTTAGATTTCTCCTAAACTTCTATTTCCCAATTTAATTCCTTGGTTTTACCTTTTAATTAAATTTTATTGTCCTATTTCCCTTCTAGAAATTAATACCTCTGCCATTTCTCTCTGCTCAAGACAAGTTCTACTGACTGCAGTCCTAAGAGCCTTCTTTGATTTCTTTTTCTAATTATCTACAATTTCTCTGAATATTGTATCTCTTTCAGCAATTGCAAAACTATTTATTTTGAAGCAAATATGTTTTTGATTACTTTTCTTTGGTAGACATAATGTTTGTTCAGCCTTACCAGTGTTTTTTTTTCCTTTCCACCTTTTTATACCCCATAGTCCATTTTTTTCCCAAACGTAAATAACATACCTCCCTTCAGGAAATAATGTCTTCTTAGAGCTGTTTCTTTTCCTTTTTTTCTGGGTTACAACCTGCTGGTTTGGGTGACCATATACAAGTGCCATATCTACTGAACTTTCTGGACCCATAAGCCTGTATTTGTTTTGGGTCTTTTGTATTTTCATTCTCACCCTGGAAAGTAACATAATTGTTTCTAAATTTCTTTTATTACCCTTTGTTTTTCCTTTGCATCTCTCTTTGCATCTCTCTCTCTCTCTCTTTTATGCTGGGGCTGGGGTGGATTTTGGGCCACAAACAGCTGTGCTCTGGACATACTCCTGACTATCTGCTCAGGGATCATTCTTAGAGGTGCTAAGGGTATGTGGTGTCAGAGATCAAATAAGAGTTGGCTGCATGCATGGTAAGAGCCTTACTTGCTAGACTGTCTCTCTGGCCCACTTTTTCTTTCTCCTTCCTTCCTTCCTTCCTTCCTTCCTTCCTTCCTTCCTTCCTTCCTTCCTCCCTCCCTCCCTCCCTCCCTCCCTCCCTCCCTCCCTCCCTCCCTTCCTTCCTTCCTTCCTTCCTTCCTTCCTTCCTTCCTTCCTTCCTTCCTTCCGATAAACTCCTCATGTTTTTCATGGAGCTGTTGACTTCATGACTTTGTGATTTTCTTGCATTATCTTCCCCAGTGAACCTAGTGAACAGAAATAGGTGGAACCCGGTCAAACTACATGACTTTGGGGAAAACTCTGAGGTTGTTTCAAGTTTCACTTTTCATGGAGTAGTATTGGTTTAATGCCAACACATTGTCAAAGAAGACAGATTGTTGAGCCACCAGTTCCACATAGTGGAAACAAATTGTTTAGTTTACTCTTTTTCCAATATGATCCAATGGCATTTTCAGAGTAGTACTAAGCACTTAATAGTTACCTCAAGAGACCATTATTTTTATCTTTTATTGCTAGCATCTTCTTTATCTTTAAGAATACTGGAACCACAGCAGGAAGAATATCTTTTGAAACTTTTGTATTTTTGAACTTACATTCCATTATAATGATCTGAAACTTTTACGAAAGCATTGCAGACATCACAGTGAAACCCAAAAGCCTTCAGATGCTATTAATAATTTAGAGCCTCAAGTTCATGTGGGAATGTTAATTCCACTTACTGAAGAAGAGTTCATTATGATTTATTCTGATTAAGACCTTGTAACTGTGGAGATGTGAAAGTGTGAAAGAATTCTATTATAGACATTCTGAGCAATAAATCCAAATATACCAACACAACAGACAGTGAATACAAGTCCTTGACGAATTTTTCTTGAAGGGTATTACTTTAAAAGTTAAATTCATATTTATATTTTTTATTAGTATTTTCAAATAATGAATGGCAGCAGATACTCATCCATTTAGCAGGGTCATCTTGAAAAAATGACATTTCTCTGCTGCCATTTCTCTAGTTTGATCAGATACCAAGAATTACAGACATGTTCCTCATAACTTATGTCATATCAATGATGATGATTACTTAGTTTTCTGAGGAACTGGGCAATGAATACATAAACTCACACATGCAGAGCAAGGACTTGCTCTACTACTTAACTAGATCTCTGGTCCTGCATTACATAAATTCTATTTTGTTACATCATCAGAATTTATAAGACAGACCTAGGGAAATAACTAGATCTGGGGATACATCCTAGGTACTAAAAGAGTGACAATGCTTAGTCTATCCTGATTAGAATCCAGATTAGGACAGGCTAAGCTTATCCAGAAAAACAAGACTAGCAGGAGATTTTCCCTAAGGATTGATGTCAGACAAGGGTGGACAGGAAGATAGCTTCCTGCCTTGCATATGAACAATCCTGGAGTTCAATCCTCTACATCTGTGGCTCCCAAGCAGCTCTGACTGAGTACAGCTAGGGATTGTCTGTGAGCAGTGTGTGTGTGTGTGTGTGTGTGTGTGTGTGTGTGTGTGTGTGTGTGTGATGCTATTATGGACATATTAAGCATCAAATCCAAATATACCAACAGAACAGTGATAGTGAATACAAGTACTTTTTTCTTTTTAATTTAATTTTATTTAGTCATAGTGAATAGTGAATTACTAAGCTAATCACCACTGGATTTCAGGCACATAATGTTTTAACACCAGTTCCTTCACCAGTGTCTGATTCTCTCTACCAATGCCTTCCTCTGGTTACCGTTTCCCTCCCACCCACCAGTCTGCCTCTATGAGAGGCACTTTAAAAAAAATAGTTTTAGTACTGTGGTTTAAAGTACCACTGTTGGTAGATTTTCATACATAATACTTTATCTTTCATTTTCCCCTACTAATCCAGGTTGAACACTTCCCTACACCATTGTTTTTGAGAAGTTGAATACAAGTTCTTGATGAATTTTCCTTGAAGGGTATTACTTTAAATTTTAAGTGTATATCTAGATGATGATGATGATCCACCTTTGCGTCTTTGAATTTATTTTACTAAATCTGTAATAGCATCTTTAACTATGTTAGACTTACACTACTCAACTAAATAAGCAAATAAAACCATTCTTCTCATTTTCCTTTTTGTGGTCATCACAAAGTAAAAAATTTAATTAATGTTTAATATTGAGTTTCCCTCCCTACTCCGAGCAGAGCCCCGGCAGCTGAAGACCTCCGGTTCCAGCCACAGCCATGCTTAAGACCACTCTCCACATGTTCAGACAAGCCTCACGCATGAAGAAACCGGCAGAGGAACCCAGGTGTGCGGGACCCGGGGTGTAGATCTCCAAGCCTACTCGGTTTGGGACTGGAGCCTTCTCCACCCAGATAACCCATTTTCCAGTATATAGGCGTTACACCCACCAACTGCCCCCAGCGCCGTGTAATCCCATCAATGGCCAAGACCCAGAGACTATAAAACACTGCTCCCGGAAGCGCAACATCTTATTATCTAGTTCTTATTCTGAAGAAACTGTCAGGCTACCAAAAGTATCCTGCCCACACAGCAGAGTCTGGCAAACTCCCTGTGGCATATTCAATATGCCTAAACCCAGTAACAATGTTGGGTCTCATTCTCCTGACCCTGAAAGAGCCTCGAATGCGGCACTTTTTAAAATCTCAGGGCTAGGATGAAGGAGACGTTGCTGGGGCCTGCTTGAGGCAATGATGAACAACAGGATGACAGTGATACAGTGATATTTAAGTACACCATTATACCTTTAAAAAGGTTTTTGACAGAAGTGAAAGATTTAGAAGAAGGGAAGATGGTCAGAGAGGAAGAAGATAGAGTCTGGCAGTGCTTTGGGGAAGGTACTTTTTGTTTGTTTTTTACCTTTTTGGGAGGAAGGGTCCCAATGTGCCTTTGAGACTGGAGACAGGTAGGTGTGCCCCTTTCTCCTCACTGCCATTCCTGTAGAAGACCCACAGTCTGGTTGAAAATTCTGTTTCTTGAGGCATATGCCTCTGGCTCTTCTAACCTAACCTCCTCATTGCTCTGAACTCTGCATTGCACTCACTCATCAATTAATGAGGTTTTTTCTTTTTTTTCTTTCTTTTTTTATGTAGGAGTACTGCTATTTATTTATTCATTTTTTATTTTTTTTATTTTTTATTTTTATTAGTGAAACACCATGAGGTACAGTTGTAGATTTACAAATTTTTGTGCTTGGGCTTAGATTATACAATGATCAAATACCCATCTCTCCACCAGTGCCCATTTTCCACCACCATGGATCCCAGTATCCCTCCCACACCTATCCCCCCCATCCCACCCTGCCTCTGTGGCAGGGCATTCCCTTTTGTTCTCTCTCTCCTTTTGGGTATTGTGATCTGCAAAAGAGGCATTGAGTGACAGTCATGTTCAGTCCATAGTCTACTTTCAACATGCATTTCCCCTCCTGGGAGGATCCTCCAAACACCCTTATTTGGTGCTCCCTTCTCTATCTGAGCTGCCCTTTCCCCTAGAATGCCCAGCTGGCCTCTAAGCCATGGAGTAATCCTCCTGGTACTGATCGTGGCTATTCTTGGGTATTAATCTCCTATTTTGTTACTTTATGTTCCCCAGATGAATGCAATCTTTCTATGTCTATCCCTCTCTTTCTGACTCATTTCACTTAGCATGATACTTTCCATGTAGTACCACTTGTATGTAAATTTCATGACTTCAGTACTGCTATTTATTCAGCCACTGATTAGCTGATTGAATTAGACATGAACTCCACCTTACTTTTTTTTCATAGTTTTATTTATTTATTTATTTTTCAGCTTATATTTATTTATTGAATTACTGTGGGAAAAGTTACTAAGCTTTCAGGTTTAAGTCTTGGTCATATAATGATCAAACACCTTTCCCTTCACCAGTACTCACATTTCACCATCAAGAACCCCAATATACCCCCCCTCCCACCCCACCCAATGCCTGTGAGGCAGATGATTTCTACTTAAATCTTCTCTACATTGATTACATTCATCATTTCGACAAAAGATGCACCATTATTGTTTAGAATTTCCCCCCCAACAATCAGAATTGCTGAAAAGGCATTGTGAAATACTTTGTTTTCTATAGCTGGTAAGAATCATATAATGTTGCGCAGGTGCTATTGTGTCCACACAATTTTGGATTTCTACAAAGAGCCAGATAATTTAGAGATTGTTATCTGTGCGTCTGGTGTTATGACTGTGCCGGAGAGCTGCTTGTGAGGACCTACTACTAAGGACCTCGGTAGGGCGTGAAGGACAAGCCTCCCCCATCCCATGAGACTGCAGTTGCCCCGTCACCACCGGCTCATACTTGGCTTTCCTATAAGCTCTGAAGCGGCAGCCATCTTGCTGCTGGGGAGGGGGGAGACAGAAGGGAGCAACACCCTTTCCCTCCTGGGGAGGCATGGCACCATAGTTTAACACATCATCCATTTACTTTTCTGCCGCAAGTTGCCAGGCTCTGGACTAAGCCCTTTTGCCTCTGGAGCCATGTCTGTGCCAGAGAGCCACTCGTGGAGGACAACTCGTGACCTCGGTAGAGCATGAAGGATGAGCCGGTACCACCCCCCTTCCCATGAGACTGAAGTTGCCCTGTCACTGCCGGCACATACCTGGCTTTCCAATAAGCTCTGAGGCAGCGGCCACCTTGCTGCTGGGGGAGAAAGGCGGAAGGGAGTAACACCCTTTCCCTCCCGGGAAGGCATGGTGCTGTAGTTTAAAGCATGGTCCCGTAGTTTAACGCATGGTCCATTCACTTTTCTGCTGCAAGCTGTCGGGATCTGGATTAAGTCCTTTTGCCTCTGGAGCCGTGGTCGTGTATGTGGTCCAGATGCATTTCTGCCAAAAGCTGCTGGGTTTCAAGATTTGTTTCTGAGTCTCTGGGATCATGGCCATTAATCAGCTTGATAAGGAGCCAGAGAGGCCGTTTGTAGGCAGTGAATTGAGGTCTCGCTGGGATGGGGAGGAAAAGGCTGGTTTAACCCCCATCTGGTGAGGTCCCACATATCTCGTCACTGCAGGCCCAAACCTGACTGTCCTGTGGCCTCTGGAGGATGACGGTCACCAGGCCACCAAGGTGAACAGGCCAAGGCACGAAACTTATTCCCCCCTGGAGTGGCCCAGCCCCAGTAACCTACTGCAGGAACAGGATGCATTTCTGCCAAAAACTTTTGGGTTCCGAGATTCGTTTCTGAGTCTCTGGAATCATGGCTGTTAAGCAGGTCCATCAGGAACCAGAGAGGCCCTGCCTCCAATTATATAGCTGAGCTGGAGGTGGTTTGTGGGTGTGTCTCCCACATACCTAACTTTTGGCCGTTTACTTTCTTGGTAAACTTTGCCCCAAGTTTTTGGGGTCTGGCCAAAGGCACAGCAGCAATTTTGGGATATCTGAAGGCCTGACAGTGACATCAGGCTGCTGATGCACTCACCTCACAAGTACAGATTGACCTGCTGGCGGCACCAAACCCCCAATTAATGAGTTTTGTGTTGTTCTCCTGCTGATCTTTCACCTCAATTCCTATTATCATTTATAAATACATTACCTACTCCCCACTTAGGTCCTTATTGTCTTAGTTTATTTTCTCCAGTGACTTTCTCCTTTACTTCACCTCTACCCAATCCTGGAGCTGAAACACATTCCAAATTTTTCTCTTTCTAAATCAGAAACCTAACACTGCCTCTCTGATTATTCTTCCTATCTTTATAGTTTTCTAGTTCAATTATTTGTATTATGACACCAAAATTATATGGGCATGATTAAAAAATTTAACACTTCTGGTCTCTCTCTCTCTCTCTCATTAGTCAATTTTATCTTACTTTTTTCCCATTTCCAATTTAGGTCAAAAAATAAACTTCCTGTCTCTATAATCAGTAGGCATATCCTGGTCCCCTGGGAACTCTTAGCCTTTATAGAACCATTCTCATTTTCCTTTTTGTGATCATCTATGCCTCTTTTGCCTCTCTCTCTCTCTCTCTCTCTTTCTCTCAAATTCCCACTCGTTGCTGTTATTGCAATGATTAGGGCCACACACCCTTGGTGGTGGCACTTGCTAGGGTCATACGTGTGGCTGCAGAGTTCTCACACTTGGCTAAAGTGCTCACCAGGAATAGCACTCTCTAGTTGTGGTGTTCACAGACAGGGCTTAGCTTTGGTTCTCTAGAATCACATACTCTCTTGTGGTGCTAAGGATTTTACATGGCAGAATCTCCAAGACCATGAGTGGTACATGTAGGTGGCACCAAGGATTGAACTCACAGCCTTATGTTTGAAAGGTAAGCACTCATGGTCACTGAAACATTGCACATCC